CTGCGGAGCTCCTGTGCTGCGTGCCCACAGAGATCCACAGAGCACAGACTTAGTGAATGACAACATGCTCTTCACATTGCATTGTCGTGGTCTCTACTGACGACTCTTCAGCTTGATGGCCCTCTGAAGAGAACTCCCCAAGACTGATTAGAGGTTCATTAGGGTACTCGTATGTAGGGCTAAACCCCAAACCCTAAACCTAAACCCTTAAGCCCTAAACCCTCAAGAAGCCTGGACGCCGTTCCAAGCACCAGGTGAGGACGCGCTTCCCCGGCCTCAGCAAGATGAGTTGCCGGCTGCTCGCAGTTGGTTGTTTTCATTCACCCTAGACCCTAAACCCTAAATCCTAAACCCTAAACCCTAGCCCTAAATCCTTAACCCTGAAGTGGTGCGGCTTTTTCGATACAGGTCTCAGGGCTAGTCGGGGGTTAGGGAAGCTTCGAATCCAAGGAATCGATTGTAGCATCTTGGTGTATGTTGAGGGATATCCCAATTCGGGGAAATCGAGTTTGCGAGGCTGCTTTGACTGCAACTGCCCCGCACGGGGGTGGGCAGGAAGGTAAGACTGGAGATGCTGCCAGCGTTTAGGGGTTTAGGGATTTAGAGGCTTAGGGGTTTAGGGTTTAGGGCTTAGTTTAGGCTTGTAAGAATCTTGGCCCTGTAGGTCTTGGAAATCATAAAAAAATATTTTGTCATTTTTCAGTCATTTCGGAGTCATTCTGGAGTCATTCTGCTGTTGTCATTTTGTTGTCGTTTCTATGTCGTTTTCTGCATGAATCATTCTTGCGTTGTCATTTTCTTGTCATTGTGTTGTCGGTGGTGGTGGTGGTGGTGGTGGTGGTGGTGGTGGTGGTGGTGGTGGTGGTGGTGGTGGTGGTGGTGGTGGTGGTGGTGGTAGGAGGAGGTATAAGTGCCAAAGATGGCCACTTATGTGGTATCCTGTGAGATTAAGTAAGCGTGGCACGAGTCACCACTTTCTGCGTCGTAATTTGCAGAAAATGAATAAAACGATAACTTGCAACAAAGGCGTAAGCCTTACGTAAGCAAGGAAGGAAGTCTGGGGGGATCTGGGGGATGGCAACGTGTGGGGAAGGGGGGGAAGGGGGGTGGGGGGGCGGTGGAGGGCCATATGACAAAAAATGACAGATCAGGACATGACAGAAAAATGACTCCAAAATGACAGAAAAAACAACTCCAAAATGACAGAAAAATGACTCCAAAATGACAGAAAAATGACTCCAAGATGACAGAAAAATGACTCCAAAATGATAGAAAAATGACTCCAAAATGACAGAAAAATGACTCCAAAACGACAACCGCTCGAGGCCTCCTTCAATTTCCGCCCTCCCCACCGTCCCCTCGCCCGTCCCAGGGGGAAGTCATTTTTTTGTCATTTTGGAGTCATTTGTTTGTCATTTTTCTGTCATTTGTGGAGTCATTTTTCTGTCATTTTGGAGTCATTCTGCTGTCATGTCCCGACCCCTCTGTCATTTTTTTGTCATTTGGCGACCCCTTTGCCATTTGGTCTGTCATTCTTCTGGCATTGTTCAATCATTTGCTCCAATTCTAATGTACGTCGTCCTCATCATCGTCGTCGTCGCGGCGCGCATGCGAAGAGGGACAAGGGCTCAGCAGTGTCGGTTCTGGGGGCCCATGTGGGCCGTGTCTGAGACCCTTGAAGGCCCCAGGATGCCTGTCGTCAGCCAGTTTGGGCCCATGTTTTGTGGGTCCCTTAACTGGGCCGCATTTGGGACCGCAATCATGAGGGCTTTGGAAGGCCCATATGAACCCTTTCTGAGGGCTTTGCCTGGGCGCGCTTACAATAATAATACTAGAATACTACTGACACATGACAAACAAATGACACAAACATGACACAAAAATGGCATCAAAATGACAGCAGCAAGTGACAACAAAATGACAAATAAATGACAAAAATAATTCCTGGATATGTCCCAAGGTCTGCAGGAGAGATTCTTACAAGTTTAGGCTTTGGGCTTTAAAGGGTTGGTACTCTGGTGGAGGTTCGGAAAACCTAGAGCCCAAAACCCCTATCCCCAAACCCCCAAGCCCCAAACTCCAAACCCTAAAGCCTATAAACCTTGAAGAACCCCTTTAAGAAAAAGAATAATAATAATAGCAAATCTAAAACCCTAAACCCCGAAAAACCCTAAACCCTGTAGCTTAACCTCCCCCAAAACAAAAGAGGTGGCCATCTCTACAGCTTGGCTATGGTGCCCTGGCTGATGCCGAAGCCGCACTACCGGACAGGCAGGGCACTTGAAGACCCAAAAGTAGACAGAGGGGTTTAGGGTTTGGGGTTTGGGGTTTGGGGTTTGGGGGTTGGGGGTTGGGGATGTAGGGTTTAGGGAACTGCAAGCAGTCCTTCTCATGAGGGCGGGGGAGGCTTCCAAGCCTCGCCGCAAGAAGAGACATTGAAACCCTGCAACACACGTTCTTTTTCTCGTTAAAATGCTTTCAGGTTACTTGCATTTGTATCTCAAGTCCTGGAGCCCGTCCGTACCTTCGTGGCTGTAAGCCTTTGACCCCTATGGCCGTTTTGCACTGCAGCTGCCTTCCTAATTGCATGCAGGTTGCCGGGTCTTGGGATAGATGCCTTAATTCCAGCGTCGGGATAACCCACAACCTCCCTTCCCCCCAAACCCCCTTCGTGGACCTTAAAGGGGCCAGGAACGGGACTGTGCGCCCTCGGAAGCGTTGCAGGTAGACTGTAAGGAATGCAGAGAGTTTTGGGGTTGTGTGCACATATGCCCAGAGATAGGATACCTTTGTGGTGCTTCACTGTAACTTGTACATCTTTAGCCTTTTTGGGTTTATTGGGTTTCTGAATAAGGCAGCTAAAAGTTTGATTTTTTGCTACCCTCCTAAGTGCAGCCAAGATACATGAATAGAACTTACTTCTCCCATACACACATGCACACATGTAGGCAGCAGAGCCCTTGAGCGATGCCCTCTTGCACCCGCAGCCATCAGCGCCTCGAAGTTCGAAGGGGAGGTGAACGCCGCTTAGGGTTTAGGGTATAGGGTTTAGGGTTTAGGGTTTAGGGTTTAGGGTCATGGAGCTGATGGAGTCGGCACCAGCTGGCGAAGGCGGAGCGGCAAAAGGAGGCCATGGGGGTCGTCCGCCTTCTGGGGCTCTTGCAGATGGCGTTGTTGGGAGGTCTTTTTGTGGAAAAAGGCTGCAAGGTTGTTGTGAAGGCTCAGCCGTCGTAGCTACCCTGAGCCCAAAGGCAACGCACGGTTGAGCGCCGTTTAGTAGCCCAGTCCAGGTCCTGTGTTGAAAACCGGGCCCCAAATGTGGACGAGTGAATCGTTTGGGTCCTTACTTTGTGTCGGGGCGTTCCTCCTCTCAGAGCAGCTCATCCCAGAAGGAGCTTTGCCCCTAGAAGCCCAAACCCCTGCGAATGCCTGGAAGATCTTCAGTCCCTGCACAAAGCTTTGGGGTACAGGTGCCAACTCAAGAAGTGCGCGCGACCTCTTGGCAGATGCGAAGGCGCCTCAGACCCTCAACCCGCGGGAATACACAATTGGGCCCTGTCTTTGAGGCAAGAATTTGGCTTCAGTACTTTAAGACCGGAACCCTCAACCCGAAACCGCCCCGTTCTGCATGAAGATCAGCCAGCTGCCTTGGGGGTTGCAGCAGCTTTGAGCTTGTAAAGGTTGCTCCAGATGTTGACAGTCAGTTGTCGCTTTTGGAAACAGGATGTGGGGTCTCGGGCATTTGGTGGGATCTAGGGTTCAGGGTCTGGGGGGTTTGGTGGGATCTAGGGTCCATAAGTTTATCCAGAACCTGCAGACCCGGACTCTCTGAACCCTGCAGTCTTTACACCCGTCTCTAAACAGAAAACCTCAACCCTACACCCTGAGGACATATATACCCTCCTAAACCCCATAAGAAGGCCCTGGAGCTCCTGAACGCCCAAAGCCTCATTCTTACCCCGACGCCCCAGTTGCGTGGCAAGAACTCCAGAGTAGACTTAACGGTTCATAGTGTAGGGTTTTATGGAGGCCTTTTTAGGGCTTATAGGGCTTCCTGGGGTTACAGGGTTTTCAGGGTTTAGGGTTTAGAGGAGGTCGACATCCCGACCCACATGCTCAACCTCAGGTACTCTAGCCTTGTCGGGCTTAGGGCTTAGGATGTGGGGTGTCGAGCTTTGGGTTTAGGGTTTATTTAGGGCTTAGGGCTTCGGTTTGTTTCGGCTTTGGGGGTTTCGGGTCTAGGGTTGGGGTTTAGGGTTTCAGCTTTAGGCTTTAGGATTTACTGCAGGCTGTGAAGGACGCCAACATCGCCCTCAGTCGCTTGGGAAGGGCGGGGCAGTGGGCTGCAGCCACCGAGATGCCACTGGGCTGAGGGTTCTACCTGGGCATCTCACCAAAATGAGGGCTCAGGGTTTAGGGGTTTAGGGGTTTAGGGGTTAGGGTTTAGGGTTTAGGGTTTCGGGTTTGGGGGTACCCTTTCCTTACCCCCTGACACACCCCAAAATGCTCGAACCCTCATTGGAATACCACCCCCCCCCTTCTTACACCGCACCAAGATCCATTTGACATGTGGATCTTGGGACGTTCCCCCTTATACTAACAGTCCTTCATAGGGATTATAGTACCCCTATTATAATCTCTATTCAGGACTGTTCGCTAAGGGGGAACATCCCAATGTGGGCGTTTACATAAAGTCCCCCAAATGGTAGGATTCCCTTAGCACAAGGACCTCAATCAGGCACCCCTAACATCGTAAATCCTCGAATCCGCCTAAACCCTAAACCCTAAGCCCTAAACCCTAAACCCCTAAACCCCTAAACCCCTAAACCCCTAAACCCTAAACCCTAAACCCTAAACCCTAAACCCTAAACCCTAAACCCTAAACCCTAAACCCTAAACCCTAAACCCTAAACCAATCAGGTACCCCTAATTTCCCACATCCCCATATGGATCCCTTCCCTTTGGGTTGGTGGGTGGGGTGGGGGCCGAGGCTCACCGCCATGCCCTCGGCCCGCATCAGCCCTGACACTGTGACATTCAACACCCTGATTAGCGTCTCGGCTTGCCTCCTTAAGCCCTAAACCCTAAACCCTGAACCCTGAACCCTAAACCCTAAACCCTGAACCCTGAACCCTGAACCCTGAACCCTAACCCTGAACCCTAAACTGGGGTTTTGGGTTGGGCGTTCAGGGAACCTGCTGTGGTACCTGTCAAGGAAACCAGCCCAACTCGAACGTATTCAGTGCAAAGGCCCACTTCTATCGTGGATTCGTGTCTGTCTATGGCTTTCAGTCGACCTGAGGCGACAGACTCCATAAGGACAATCTGGACTCCAAACTGCGTTTTGTTTAGCAGCCCCCGGTATTGCAGACTGCATACCAAAATCACGAAGGGGTGGCGCCGACTGTGAGCTGTGAGCCTGCAAACCTCAGCAACCAGCCTTGGAAGTGTCTCTTAGCATGGCTGACAGTCCACGCAAGCCAGGTAGCCAGGCGAGTTGGAGGTTAGGGATTCAGGTTCATCATCATGAACAAAGCAGGCCTACTGGAAGCACAACCGCTGCATTACTGGCAAGTTTCAGCCTAAAGCTCCACATCCCACGGCTCTCAATCTCTCCTCCCTCAACCCTGTAAACCCTTTCAACCCTAAGCCCTGAACCCTAAACCCCCCTCTAAACCCTAACTCCTAATACTCCCTAAGCCCTAAACCCTAAACCCTAAACCGCCCTCTAAACCCTAATTCCTAATACTCCCTAAGCCCTAAACCCTAAACCCTAAACCCTAAACCGCCCTCTAAACCCTAATTCCTAATACTCCCTAAGCCCTAAACCCTAAACCCTAAACCCTAAACCCTAAACCCCAAACCCTGAACCCTGAACCCTAAACCCCCCCCCCCCCCCCCCCTCCAAAAAAAAACATGGAAAGAGAGACCCCGAGGTTCCTGCGCCAGAGCTCGGCAATGGCAGGCGGCCGCCCTCTGACTCCACTGGCCAACCCTCAAATGGGTTTAGGGTTTAGGGTTTAGGGTTTAGGGTTTAGGGTTTAGGGTTTAGGGTTTAGGGTTTAGGGTTTAGGGTTTAGGGTTTAGTGAGCTCAGGGTCTGTGTACTTTAGGGTTTGTAGGGTTTGGGGCCCATGTACAGCAGCCGGGTTCCGGGCCCGTGTACCTTGACAGAGTTTAGGTTTGTTTAGGGTTCAGGGATTTAGGATTTAGGGTTTAATTAGGGTTTAGGGTTTAGGGTTTAGTTCAGGGATTTGGGTCCATGTACCCTAACAGTGTTTAGGGTTCAGGGATGCGTTCCATTATACCTTGGCAGGGTTTAGGGTTGAGGGCGGCCCAGATACGTATTAATAGGGTGCACGGTTTAGGGTTTCTGGTCCGTATACCTGCATGTAGGTTAGTCTTTCTGGTCCATACCTCAGCCGGGGTGATCTTGTAGTATCAGGGATAATGTGACCGATTTTTGACAATCACGGGGGGGGGGGGGGGGGGGGGGGGGGGGGGGGGCCCATTCTGGGGTTCCTGTATTCAGCGTTAGAGTATTGTGGGTTTATAAGGGGCTCCGGTGGGAGCCCTATTAACTGTCGGCGGGTGGGAGCCCTAAAAACCTATAAACCCTAGATTAAATAAGCCTTAGATCCCCTAAACCCTGAAACTCCTACAAACCCTACACATTTCAGGTACCCTGGGCCCTTGGTATGGTCCCTTACCCTTGTTAGGGATCCGAAGTATGGGCCCTTGTTGTATATAAGGGTTAGAGAACCAAAGGTACCTGGATTAAGGGCCCATACTTGAAACCTTAGAACCCTTCCTGAAAGCCCTCACAAAACCAATACTATAGGGGTCGGAATAATGGCTATAATTATATTCCCCTATGGCCCCTTTGTCATTATACCATCATGACCCCCAAACACGAAACCCTAAACCCTAAACCCTAAACAATCAACCCTAAACCCTAAACCCTAAACCCTAAACCCTAAACCCTAAACCCTAAACCCTAAACCCTAAACCCTAAACCCTAAACCCTATTCTAATGATTCAGGCCCCTACATTACTTGAGGTGTCGCTCTCCTCCAGCATGGAGCCGGCCCGGGTCGACAAGGACTCCTGGTCGCGTGAGGATGTTCGGGGCAGGTTGGGGTCCGGCAGCAATATGGGCAATATGGGGGTTTAGGGTTTAGGGTTTAGGGTTTGAGGTTTAGGGTTAAGGGTTTTGTGACGAGAAACGTTAAAGACAAGCAATGATGCCAATCATACCAAAGATGATGTCCATAGTACGACACATAGCTAGTAGTAACAACAAATGACATGCAAAATGATGACAACAGTATTCCATAACATCAAATAGCAAGGCCCGGTGACATTCCTGATATCCCTAAACCCTAAACCCTAAACCCCAAACCCTAAACCCCAAGACCCACACTTGCCATCTCTCGAGGATGCAATCAGCTACAACTCCACCATCAGCGCTTTTGAGACAGCCGGCCGCGATTGAGATCCGCCAGAAGCTCCCAAGGGGCTGTAGGAGTCGTGCCTTCGCGGGTTCAGCGGCCCTAGACGCCCCTAAACCCTAAACCCTAAACCCTAAGACCCTAAGACCCTAAACCCTAAACCCTAAACCCTAAGCCGCTGTAAGGCTTTCGGACACCGAGGCGTGGTGGCCTGTGGCAGGCAGCTCTACAGCTCTTGGCTAACATGGCGGTGTCAAGGCCATGGCTTCCAAGCGCCGGGTTTGCAGGGTTTAGGGTTTAGGGTTTGGGGTTTAGGGTTTAGGGTTTTTTGGGGTTTGCCGGGTTTATTCGGAATTAGGGTTTTATTGGGGTGTTATGAGGGTTTTTCAGGGTTTTCTAGGGGCTTATGGAGTTTAATTTACGTTTGGGATTGAATTGTTGTTGCCCTAAACCCTAAACCCTACAACCCTACAACCCTAAACCCTAATCCCTGTTTCTCGTGGAGCTGCTTGCTTTGCGAGGACGGGGCCAGACGAGATCAGCTACAACTCGACCATCAGCGTCTGCAAAGTACCTTGGGGAACCCCAAAGGGGTTTAGGGTTTAGGGTTTAGGGTTTAGGGCTAGGATTTAAGGAACCCCAAAAGGGCTTATGGTCCATACGACCTTGCTAGGGAGTAAAAAAAGCGAGGGGCTCCAGGATCCGCATTGTTTGGGGTTTCCTTTGGCCCCCCAAAACCCTAAACTCTAAACCTAAACCCTAAACCCGAAACCCTAAGCCCTAAACCCTAAACCCCAGGTAGCTGGTCAGTGGCAGCTGGCTGTGGAGCTCTTGTCCAGGATGCCTGCAGCCCGCCTCCGGTCCGATGAGATTCTTGGTATAGCCTAGGATGCCCAGTAGTGCCCTTATTCCCTTTTTGGGGGCTCTAGGTTCCCCTAGAAACCCCTTTAAGCAAAAAAGGGCACCCTTTTTAATCCTAGGTTACTGGGCAACCTAGTAGCCGAATAAGTACACTTGTTACACCTTTTTTTCTGGGGATGCTAGCATCCCCGCTAGAACTGAAAGTGTACACCCTAAACCCTAAACCCTAAACCCTAAACCCTAAACCCTAAACCCTAAACCCTAAACCCTAAACCCTAAACCCTAGACCTCACCACTCAGAACTCAGGATCAGCTTCAGCACCGCCATCGACGCGTGCGAGCGCGCCGGGCAGTGGGAGCTGGCCCTGCAGCTCTGGGCCGATCTGGTGCGCTTGGGAAAAAGCTTGCAGACTTAAGGGTTTATAGGGTTTAGGGTTTTAGGGTTTGGGGTTTTTAGGGTTTAGGGTTTGGGGTTCAGGGTGTATTGTGTTTTAGGGTTTTGGGTTTGGGGTTTGGGGTTTGAGGTTTAGGGGGTTTGGGGTTTAGGGCGTCTCTGAAGAGCGCAGGTGGAAGCAAGCATCCGGAAGGATGCGATAAGCGTCAGTGCCACCATGAACGCCTGCGCAAAGGCCAGCTGGGACAAGCAAAGGTTTAGGGTTTAGGGCTTATAAGGGTTTAGGGTTTAGGGTTTTGGGGTGGTTTAGGGTTTAGGGTTTTGGTAATACACCTGACCCCTGTCAGGGTGTAAGGCTTTTGGGGTTTAGGGTTTTACGGGTGTGTACGGGTGTTGCGGGCCCAGTTGGGGGGCCCAGTTGGGGGGTCTTAGGGTTTAGGGATTGGGCGCATGTTGAGGGAGCCCCCCGCTCGTCTCACAGGCCGGGCGCTGGCGTGCGGCCCTGCACCTCTTATGGGCCGCGGACGCCTTGCCGGATGGGCGCCTCGACAGTGAGCTTCTTGGGGTCCTTTTGTATAAAGGGATCCTGGGGGTCGTTTCTTGTTGTAGACCCAAACGAACCCTACAACTGGGGTTGCAGATACCCTATACCACCCTGCAAATATTGAGATAGCACGGACCATGCATCCAGTTAGGGGATCCTTTTTTCATCCTGTTAGGGGGGCCCTTTTCATTATCCAAGTGGTGAACTCGAAACGAAAGAAGTTCCCCCCGGAAGCTCTGGAGCTTAGGGTTTAGGGTTTGGGGCCTGGGGTTTGGGGTTTAGGGTTTGGGGTTTAGGGTTTAGGGTTAGAGGCTCCCTGATCCGGCTTCTGCAGGGTAAGGGAGCGGGGGGGGGGGGGGTGTGACGGGCTCAGCTTCCCCCAAGGAAGGGGTTCGTAAGGACCAGACATCATCCACAAACGTTTAACAAAGGGGGTTTGTGGGCACCCCACAGCCCCTTGGCTCCTTTTTCCCGCTTGGCGGCTGCGGCGGCTTATGTTTCCCTAAACCCTAAACCCTAAACCCTCACACCCTAAACCCTAAACCCTAAACCCTAAACCCTAAACCCTAAACCCTAAACCCTAAACCCTAAACCCTAAACCCTAAACCCTAAACCCTAAAACTAAACCCTAAACCCTAAACCCTAAACCCTAAACCCTAAACCCTAAACCCTAAACCCTAAACCCTAAACCCTAAACCCTAAACCCTAAACCCTAAACCCTAAACCCTAAACCCTAAACCCTAAACCCCAACCCTAAACCGATTCCAACAAGCAACGTTCACAACTTCGACTTCCCTCACAACCCTATTGGCCAGGGCTTTTCAACACCGTAAACCCCCTCAACATGGGGGCCTTAAGAATGAGAATAGGGTTCGGTTTTTTCTGGTGTAGGGACCACAAGGGAATACTATTAGTACTTCTTCCGACCCCGACAGTAGCAACCGAACAACCCTAAACCCTAAACCCTAAACCCTAAACCCTACAACGAGGATCAGCTTCAGCATCGTGGTCAGTGCTTGTGAGAAGGGTGGGGAGTGGCGGATGGCCTTGGAGGTGCTGGAAGCCATGGGCAGGGAGGAGGCGCGCCGGGGCCTTTAAAGCAGGGGATAAGTCTCTGCTTTTGGTGTAAGGGGTTTAGGGTTTAGGGTTTAGGGTTTAGGGTTGTTCCTTAACGCCCGAAACGGCAAGACCCCAAACACCCTCAATCTCGTCAACCCTTGTGCCCTCTGCATGAAAGTCAACTTCAATGCGGGTTGTCGAAACTGGGGTTTGCGCCATGTTTCCGGAGGTTCTGGTATGTTGAGGCATATCAGCATTATTACGGGTACCCCCCCCCCCCCCCCCCATCTTTTAAACCCTAAACCCTAAACCCTAAACCCTAAACCCTAAACCCTAAACCCTAAACCCAGAAGGTGAGGGTGAATGGCATTTGTGCCAACGCGGCCATCAGCGCTTGCGAGAAGTGTGGGCAGTGGCAGGTGGCAGCGCAACTGCTGGCAGCTCTCCCCAGGCAGGTTTTCGTGAGTCCTCGAGTCTCTTGCTGACTCCGAACTTCCAGCCTCTCAACCCTAAACCCCATACCTTTTAACCTCTAAAATGGCCTTTCAACCCTAAACCCCATACCTTTCAGCCTCTAAAATAGCCTTTCAACCCTAAACCCCATACCTTTCAGCCTCTAAAATAAGAAAAACATCCCTACAACCCCGAACTTCTGGAAAGCTCAAAACGGATCGCCCCAGGTTCCAGGTAACTCCGGACACGATCAGCCTGAGCGCTGCAATGAGCGCCTGCGCGAAGCCCGGTTGCCTTCTGGGAAAAATTTTCATATTGTCCTGATTTGGGTTTAATAAAGGACCCTATCCCTAAACCCTAAACCCTAAACCCCCAAATTGCCCTAAACTGCCCTAAACTGCCCTACACCCCTAAACCCTAAGCCCCTAAACCCTAAGCCCCTAAACCCCGAAACCCTAAACACTAAACCCAAAACCCTAAACCCAGGAAGGCTGGGCAGTGGCGCAGAGCTTTTCAACTTCTGTCGTCCATGCCCACGGTGCGCTTCTTTGACCCAAGTCCAAGCTTGGGGGGGCCAAAGAAACCCTGAAAGGGGTTTAGGGGTCGTATACTTCAATAGGAATTATCACAGTATGGGGTATGTGACCCCCAATTTTTTAGGGTTCATTGCTTCTAGGCCTTGGGCTTTTGTTTTGGGCTGTGACCGCTTGCACTTTGGACGCCGCAAACGCAAGGCTTGATGCCCGATGACATCAGCTTCAATGCCGCCATCAGTGCATGCGCTCCGTCTGGGCAATGGCAGCAGGCACGATGGCTGCTCGTGGATATGGCGATGGCGATGGTGCAGGCTCGTGGGCGCAGAGTTGAAACAACTCTCTGTCACAGTTCTCTCTCTCTCTCTCATATATATATATATACAACTAAAATATATGCATACTGGAATTCTTATATTATACTATATTATACTGTACACAGTCTACAACATATATATATATATACATATATATATACATATATAATGTAGAGAGAGAATTGCAAATGTGATTCTAGCTTCACAGGGTCGATCCGTCGATGCGTCGGGCGGGGCCCTGAGGCGGATGCCATCGGCTTCAGCGCGGCGACCAGCGCCTGCGAGGGAGGAGGGCAGTGGAAGAGTGCACTCCAGCTACTTGCAGGTGGGTTTAGGGTTTAGGGTGTCCCGCCGGGGATTGCTTAGAGAAGCTGCTTAGCTAACCACGCCCCAGATCTCCCTATGGGTATGTTCCCAGCAAAACTAGGGGCATCCACAATGTTTCCAAACTCCATACGGCATTTTCCCAAAAGAACCGGGCATCCCCAACAGGGTACACAACCTTTTCGGAGCTGAACGGAGACCGCAGGTTACTATTTGCTTAAGACCCCCCCCCCCCAAAAAAAAAAAAAAAAAAAACATTCATCCCCATACTACCCTTATCAGGAAGGTTTTCTTAATAATCCCAATACTACCCTTGTAAGGAAGTTTTTTAAAACAACATGTTGGGTTCTTAAGTAACTCCTAGCAGGTGCGCGCGCAAGCATGGCCCGGCTCAACGAAGTCTGCTTCAACGCCGCCACCAGCGCTTCTGCCAAGGGCTCCGGGGCTGCACAGGTAGGGTTTAGGGTTAAGGGTTTGGGGTTTAGGGTTCAGGGTTTAGGGCTTAGGGTTTAGGGTTTTAGGGTTTAGGGTTTAGGGTTTAGGGTTTTTGGGGTTTAGGGTTTATGGGGTTTAGGGGGTTTATAGGGCTTACAGGGTTTATAGGTTTATAGGGTTTACAGGATTTTTCGGGTTTGTAGGGCTTGTAGGATTTGTAGGGTTCATGTAGGATTTAGAGGGTTTATAGGGTTTAGGGTTTAGGGTTCGGGTTTGGGGCAGGGTTTCTCGTGTCTGGGCTTTTGCAGGCCGAAGCGCATCGGCAGGGACTGCACCAACATCGATTGCAGCCATACTTCTACACCCTAAACCCTAAGCCCCTAAACCCTAAACCCCTAACCCCTAAACCCTAAACCCCAAACCCCCCAAACCCCAAACCCTAAACCCCTAAACCCCTAAACCCTAAACCCCAAAACCCTAAACCCCAAACCCCTCAACCCTAAACCGTAAACCCTAAACCCCAAATCCTAAACCCTAAACCCTAAACCCTAAAGCCTAAACCAGGTGATCAATGGCGGGCGGCCCTGCAGATTCCAGCTGCGATGCCTCTGAGCCAGGCCCACACCCTGGGCGGGTGACCAAAAAGACCGAAGGAACCCTAACATTGGGATCTTGTGGGGTTTAGGGTTTGGGGTTTAGGGTTTAGGGTTTAGGGTTTAGGGTTTAGGGGTCGTGTACCCAGGCCACTGGTTTTCTACAGTAGAAGAATCTTCCTTATAAGTGGATGTTCTTAGGCAAATAGTAGTATACCCCGGGCTACTATAGGAACCTTGTCTACTTTATTGGACCTTTAACCCTAAACCCTTAACCCTGGCTCCAGCCGGGCACTTTCATCCCCTAACCTGATTCAAGACCTTCCCAGCTGATGCTCATGATGCTCCAGGCTCATGATGCTCCAGCCGGGCACCTTCATCCCCTAACCTGTTCCCAGCTGCTGCTCATGATGCTCCAGCCGAGCGCCTTCATCTCCTAACCTGTTCCCAGCTGCTGCTCATGATGCTCCAGCCGGGCGCCTTCATCCCCCAACCTGGCTCAAGCCCTTCCCAGCTGATGCTCATGATGCTCCAGCCGGGCGCTTTTAGCCCTTTTGGGGATCATTGAGTCAAACGACCCCAATTTAGGGGTCAACCCTTTTGGGTTCATTTGGTCTGCAAAGTGGAACTCCGGGGCCCGATTTTTTCAGAATCGATGCCTGAGATGGCGGCGCATTGGGTAAAGTACATCAGCCTTAGTCAAACTTCCCCCACAAAAGGCTTACGCAAACTCAATCGGGGTGTGCGCCCAGCCGTTGTGCAGTGCGGCTTTCTCGGAAGAAGAAGAGAAGAAGAGGGGCTCACGCCCTGCCAGAAAAGCGGTGGCCCAAAAGCCTGTGCCAAGACAGAATCGGATGCAGGTGAAGGTGGACAAAATCAGCTTCAGCGCAGCAATCAGCGCATGTGAGAAGCTGAGCTGCAGTATGTTGTTGTGCGTCTCGGTGGCCTTTAATAGTTCAACCAGCGTGTTTTGGCTGGTGATTTGGCTGGGCCAAAAAGGGCACCCGAACTCGAAAGAGGCGATCTTTCATAGGACAGAGCACCCAAGCGTCGAAGGTGAGTGACCTCTGCCGAAATTCCGCTTACACCTCGGAGACGCAATGAACCCTAAAACGGTTTATGGCCCGACCTTGACACAACACAAGCACGGCTCCTCGTGTTCTCGGGTGGCTTGGTTTGTGGACTTCGGGCGCTTGCAGATGATGTTGGGATGCAGGTCTAGAGTTTAGGGTTTAGGGTTTAGGGTTGCTTGGGATTTTGAAGGCTTATGGGCTGATCGGCTGACCTCACAATCGCCTCTCGAAGATCCATCGAACCTGCCTTGAACACGACCCTGAAGCCCCTTACAATGAGTAGCCTACTTCCCTCCCGACCTTCCCGACCTTCCTGACCAGGGTTTAGGGTTTAGGGTTTAGGGTTTAGGGTTTAGGGTTTAGGGCCGAGGGCTCGAGCCCCTTGAATCAAGGAGGGTTGGGCATTGGCGCGCAGCTCTGGGCCTGCTTGCTGGGTCCTCCGACGCCAACGCCGCTCAGCGTTCAGGGGGTGTTGGGGGTTTCCTGGTCCTGAAGGGAGAGTGAGAGGGTTTATAGGGTTTAGAGGGTTTATAGGGTTTATAGGGTTTATAGGGTTCATAGGGTTTATAGGGTTTATAGCGTTTATAGGGTTTATAGGGTTTTAAGGGTTT